CTGTTCTGCTGTTGTGGACGGATGATACTGCCCCTCTTTATCTGTTTTACATACAGGTACAGGTTTTTTTAAAAAAACCATTAAATTATATTCCAACATAATTGTTCCTTTTTTGAAACAATCTTTCCAAACAATGATAATGGCCTCTCTCTTTTAGGGCATGGTAGAACAGAATAAACTCAAAAGCTTGAAAAATTGCCTGGGGCTCAGCATTAAATATGGAAGCTGCAGATGGAAGTCTTAACAGAAATGATTCAAGATGTTGTGACGGTAGCCGAAGCTACCCTATCATTATCTTTGGAACCATCTGTGTAAATGTGACCATAATCACAATATTTAGATCCAAACTCTCGAAAGAGAACGAAAGGCATTGTTTAATGGCACGTCAACTCCAACCTGGTAATATTGCGCCAAACATATGGTGAATTTAACGAGACATTAAATGACATCACAAAATATTTATAATCATAAAAAAACAAGTAACACATATTAAAATTAATTATCATTTTATGAATATTATTTTATGTACATCAAATATTTAAAAAATAAAATATCGAAAAACAGTATATATACAAATTAACTTTCTATAAAAATGTCTTTTAAAAAATCTTACGCTTAACAATATAGACCCGGTTGGGCAAATAAATTCTGTAATGACTGAAAACGGAAGTATTTGGATCTGACATCCTTGAAATGCTTGCACTCAATCAGAATGTGCTTAACTGTCAAAAGAACCTGACAGTGTTCACATTCACAAGCTCTCGCTTCAAGATGAAAATATGAGTTAAAAAAAAGTATGACCTATGCGAGAACGACACAAGGCAACTTCATCCCTCCTGTTGGTTCTATAGGAGCTTGGCCAGTCTCCTAAGAGAGGCTTAATGTGATGAAGTTTATTTGTGTCTGCAAGAGGCCGTTGCCAGCGGCCATAAATGAAATGATTTATACATGATTTAAAATCGCGATATGGTATTAAAAAAGGGTGATTGGGGAAAATCTGAAGCGGCTTTAGCAGCAAAATCTGCTTCATCATTCCTCCTTATATCAACGTGACTGGGGAGCCAGCAAAAGACAACGTCTTTGCTGTTGAACATAAGATAGTAGCCGCTACTAATGGGTGTTCAAGCTGTTTATTGTTAATTGCTTGATGCGAGGACGGGGAACCTGTAAAGATGTGCTGTAATAGATGCGATGATTGAATAAACTCCAAAGCCTGAAAGATGGTCTGGCGTTCAGCAGTAAATATGGAAGAAGCAGGTGGAAGTCGCACAGATATAGTCTCAGATGGTGTCACGGTAGCCGAAGCTACCCGATCACCAATTTTAAAACCATCGGTGTAAATAGGAGCATAATCACCATATTTAGACCGTACACTGAAACACCGTAGAGCTAGTATATCTCTTTTTATGTTGCGTAAGATCGAAATCAATCTTTGGGGGAGATACAGCCCACGTTGGAGTCCTAAAGAAAGGCGTATTCGCAATACCCTCAGCTTTAAGTATGAATTGTAATTTAGGGGGAGGGGAGTACATGCAGCATAAAAATATAATATCTATTCATTCATTTAGCGTACAATTAAAATAAGAATTCGGCAACACAATTATTGTAACATAGTATCAAAGGATCTATTATTAACGATGACTGTGGATTTTAACGTACAGGAACACATACTAATAATTACATATTTCATCTATAATTCTAACAACCATATATCATATTGTAGTCCTTAGGCCATCGTCCTAATTTACCTTCGCCTCCATTGTGGTGCACCCTCGTTTTGCCTTGAGCTTCCCAGCTCCTCTAGTGGACAGCCACAGCCCGTCTCTGTCATATACCTAAGCCAATTTATACTAATTCAATCTTTTAGTGGCATTTAGCGATCGGGAAACAAATTAACAGAACATTGTGCTTGATAACGATAACTTTGACAGTGAGTCACATCTTGATTGAGTGCAAACATCTCTAGTATATTAGATCTAAATACTACCGTTGCCAGTCATTACGTCAGCTATTTGCTCAACCGGAGCTATATGATAAAGTGCTAACATTTTTAAAAGAGACAAACCTTTATTCTCAATTTTAATTGTATATATTAAATCATGTATATTGTTTTAAATATTTATATATGTAAAAGATTTGTTATATTTATTTTTAATTATATATTTTCTGTGATATTTGTTTTTATTTACATATATAAATTCAATTATGTGATATTGTTTTAATTTGTCTCGTTAGATTCACCATATGTTTGGCGCAATATAGCCCGGTTGGAGCTGACGTGCCATTAAACAACATTTCATTTCATTTGATAACGATAAGAGGATACTTGTCGAAACGTCGTGCTTTCAGAATAGAACTAGTGATTGTTTCCCATAAACACGATGTTCAGTTAATATACTAATTCAGTTCACTACAGTTATCTAATTAACTATAATTGAACATGCATAAATGATATTGAATAAAAGAACTTACATACAGAAAACAAGGTGAAATCATGAAATGAAATGGGGTTCAACGTCCTACCGGTCTGCTCCTAAACTGGGCTAATGAAGACGGGCATACGCCATACAGTGTGCTGTGGGTGAAATTTTGCCCGGGCAGTGGCGCTACGGTCTGCTCTAATATCGAATTCCATCTGCCAAAAGATCTTTTACGTGCACGCTAATGTGTACACGGGACCTCGGTTTTTCGTCCCATCCGAACGACTAAACGGCTGTCCTTGTCAGGCCCTCCGTTCTGCATCACTGACAAGGGGGAAACCACGCCTGAAAATCTGGATGAACTTTCTCGGTCAATGCACGAATCGAACATGGACCTCCAGCATGGTGAAATCAGATGATTTCAGGATAGCATATGGCAGGCGATGTGTGATAATTTATTTGACCACTATACATCAACAACATATAAAAAGCTCTTACATCTTATCTACAACGTTTCTGGTAATTACATATTCAGGAAGCTATTTTAATTTCCTTCCCAATGCTTTATTTATCCGTGGAGAAATATACATATTATCAAGAACCGTTCTGGTAATTCCATATTAACTTATACATACATGTTTTTTTTTGTTGGTGTGTTTAATTAAAAATATATACATGTATGTACAGTGTTACATTGTGATTGGTTGTCACTATTTTCTTCTTAGGGCCTCGTTGATTCTCAGGACGATACGATATTTTCGGGCCTTAATATCGGATACCTCTGGATAATAATAAAGAACATATCGTTTTATTAAAGTCTCTTCTGTGTTCCAGCTTCATTTTCTGCTTTTTCCCCTCTCGTCGGTAAACATTTCCGGAAATGGCCTAATAGTTACTTTTACTGCAAAATTTCCAATATTTTACGCGTGGGTTTTTATTTTTTTGAGTTCTATCCAAGAAATTCTGAATTCGTCCGGAATGTCGTCAAACACAGATACGTCTGTACCTATACCCACATAACAAACTGATGTTAATTTTACGTAAAGTTTACGTACAAATGGTCAGTCAGTTTACCATCATTTTGCTCATCTTTTTAACAATAAGTTTACGTCAGGAAATGACGTTAATCTAACGTAAAGTTTACGTCATTTTCTGACGCAAATCTAACGTAAAGTTTACGTTACATTTACGTCAGAGAATGCCGTAAACTTTACGTTAGAATTGCGTCAGAAAATGACGCAAATATGACGTAAACTTTACATTAGATTAACGTCATTTGCTGACGTTAAATTATCGTTAAAAGATGAGAAAAATGATCGTAAACTGACCGACCATTTTGACGTAAATCCGACATAAATATAACTTTATCTTTTGGCGTTCATCGGAACCAAGGGGCTCAGTTAGGACTTTCTGGTGTGTTTCCCGGCAAGGGATAACGTATAGTCGTTCAGATGGTACGAAAAACCAATAATGTAAAACAAACATTAAATTAAAATCCCTTTTGGTATGAAAATATAACCATTTAAATGTTATACAATAACCCCTACATTAATCCAATAACTAAAAGATATGCACATATAGTCTTTTCAAATGCCTTCCCACTCAACAAACTTCGGGACTAACACATGGTTCAATTTTATTTCAATAATTCGCTTGCACATAGGGGTCTTTAGCAATAGGAGTAATTCACAGGACCTGGAAAAAAACACACGACTCCTTGTCATGTATAACCATACCAACCTTATGATATAACCCACACATGCTAAAAATTCGGGTATCGAACACCCCAATCCCTTCTGAAACTTAATTACAACACTGTCAATAAAGTATCTAAATTTTATTTAGAAAATAGATAAAAATATATTTTAAAGTATAACAGCACTCATACATATACATAATGAAATGGTGATAATTGAAAAATTGGTTACAACAAAAAGTCTATATAGCACTTTTAAAAAATAAGATTTATTTTCTTTTACATTATGAAAAGGAGAGAGAAATGGGGTTTAACGTCCACTCGACACCAACTAGGTTATTTTGGGACTAACATAGTTTAATTTTATTTCAATAATTCGCTTGCGCGTAGGAGTCGTTAGCAGTGGGGGGGGGGCCGAAGGACCCGGAGAAAACCCACGTGGTTGGACAGGCAACCTTACTCCTTGTCACGTACAACCGGTGATTCGAAACCACGCCGGTTGACTTAATGACAGGCTTTATGATACAGCGCGCACGTGCTAACCATACAATAAAAAAAAAAAGAATCCATAATATAAAAATTAACGGTATATACAAAGATTTGAAAATCTAGGCTGCACCTATCCAATATATGAAAGATCATAACAAAAATGTCTCCAGGCCATCAAACACTTCCTTGCTGATCATCACACCAATAGGAACAGTATTTCTTTCAAAATATTAGATAAATTGACAGAGCTCTCAAGTGCAGCTACTAAGCGCAAGGGAGATAATCAGAGCTAGTGCATGTACATATTTCCCAAAAATAAAAATTACCAACATTATAACTTGAATACAAAATACACATGCAGAAAAAGTTATGACAAATTACATATTTACAAAATACCCTTTTTATTCTTTCTGGAGCATAACGCAGCCAATTTTTTATACATTCATTTATTTCTAAATCTGTTGCATGCCTGGTCATAGGATTTTTTCGAACAGCCCCTGAAAAAAATTATGAAATAAATAGCACTCTTCCAAATAATGGGGGGGCAAGGTTAGCACGTGCATGCTGTATCATGAGGCCTGTCATTGAGTCAACTGGCATGGTTTTGAATTCCTAGTTGTACGTAACAAAGAGTAGGGTCGCCTGTCCAACCATGTGGGTATTCTCCGGTTTCCTGCCACTGCTAAAGACCCAGACGCGCAAACGAATTATTGAAATAAAATTAAATGTTTAATATTCCAAGTTGTGGTCTTGATTCATTTTATTTCAATATATCCAATAACTATAAGACAATGCAGACTCCGTATTTAATCACACGTGTTTATAAAATATGTTGTTAAAAATAAAATAAAACAATGCAGTATAGTATGATTGGTTAATTTTACTGAAAACTTAAAGTAGACATCTCGCGAGACGCGTGAAATTACGAGAAACAGAAACGCGCCATCTTTTGATGAATGTCTGAGAAAGATTTTATTTTGATGGCATATTCTCGGGTTGATAATATTTGAAGGGGGGGGGGATGTTTTTAAAAAATGGGAAAAAAACAAGCAAAGAAACGTCTACAAATATTTCGATTGGAGTGGTATAACTTAAAGTACATGTAGTTTTATTTGAGACGATAGTGCGTCCGGCATCGTGGAGAGACGGTAACTGAAATTTATTTTGGGGAGATGTCTTTTTTTTTTTATCTTCATCCGAACATAAGTCGAAGCGGAGTATAAGACGAAGGCCGAACTTCGGCGGAAAAAAGTATCGACTTATAGCCCCAAAAATACAGTATCTTAAATATAATTAGCACCAAACAAGTTAATAACCAACCAAACTAAGACAGAACAGTCCACCAGGCCATGTTTCTTTGCTTAAGATAATTTAGCAAAATAAAATTTACATTACATTGGAACTTGGCATATTTATTCCTTATACCTTAAGGATAGCAACTATTTGTTATGGGTCATGCCCAGAACCCTAGGGGTGGTGCCACACCCACTGTTTTTGTTAGTTGCTTTGTAAATACATTACAGGTTGCATTTATAACAGATTTTGTTCAAGTGCTTAAAATTTAGAATTTTGGTAACTTTATTGGATTAATTAATCCTGACGTATGTTTTAACACTAATTTTAAATTATGGTTCGATAATTAATGATTAAAAACTAACAGTAATTTAATTGTTAGTATCCTGACATTCGTTTTACGTTAGATTTATGCTAGAAAACTAATGCTAGATTTACGTTATTACTAACAATACATATACATTAGAAAATTAACGGTTAAAATTCTGACATAAAACTAACGTTATATTGACGTTAGAAAACTAACCATAAACTAACGGTCAGAATCCTGACGTAAAAATTACGTTAGATTAACGTTAGAATTATCACCAATAATACATATGTCATTATTATGTCTGGATTTCAACTATTTATCAATTGTGAGAATTTATGCACATTGGTATGGCGATTTAATTTACAAATATTAGAAGCGAAAAAATTGGTTAGAAAACCGTCATAAAATTTATGTTAGATTTACGTCATTTTCTGACGTAACGTAAATTTCGCAGTAAAATTTTACCGTTCTTGGGCGCTAACCAAAATGACGTAAACTTAACGTAAATCTAACCATCAATGTTAACTGGGTCGATGGCTAATTAATTTCCCGTTACTCTTTTCTATTTTCCCATTTCTTGGTTTTCTTCAATTTTATTTAATCTGTTGATAATTATGTCCAGAGACTGCTGTATCGCAGAGCTATAGACACATCTGTTGCTGTCAGTACTGTTTTGCGCCAAATAGTCCAAGTTATGAAGATGATATAACAAATGACATTTTATTGGAGCAATCGGGTGCTCAGTGAGTAAGGCACTGCACTAATCAGGAATACAGGACAGGGGGCGTGGTAACGAACTGGAACTGAAAACCAAAGTTCCATGTACCGAGGCCTGTATTTGTCGTTATTCAGTCTCCATTTACCATAAATTAAAACACTTATATGGATATACATGTACTACTAAATTAAACACATACTTCTGAAAGTAAGGGGGTAGGTGGCCGAATTGTTAGCACGTGCTCGTTGTATCATAAGATCTGTCATTCAGAGAACAGACAACTAACTGGGCTGTTACTCCCCTCTCAGAACAAAGAAAAAACTAATAATATACACCAAAGACCTTATGCATACAAAAATAATGATCAGGTTTGCTTAAAAGCTTAATATCATCGAAAATGGGAATCCAAGAAATATTGCCCTAACTATAGCCCAAAAGCTGCGCCAGAGTCTGTTCCAGACATAGTAAAAAGACCAAAAAAACAAGATTTTGAATTTAAGTTTTAACGAATTTTATTAAACCAATCTGTTTGATATAAAACCTTTTTCTACCAAGAAAAGTTCTTCTGATCCTCAGCACGCAACATAAAGGAACGACAACTCTATTCCAAGCCACAAAATGTCCACAACACCACAAAACAAACTGCCTGTATACTGCATGTTTTCTGTTTGTGTTGTCTTCCTCTGGTAAAACCATTTATGTGATATTGTTTTAATTTGTCTCGTTAGATATACCATATGTTTGGCGCAATATAGCCCGGTTGGAGCTGACGTGCCATAAAACCATATTTCATTTCATTTCATTTCATTTCTGGTAAAACCAATACGTCATCATGCATCACATTTCCAATATCCAGCAGAAACCCGGTTCCAATGGTTATCATTGCTTATTATATATTACATTTTTTTCAGGTAATGAAATGAAATGTGACTTAAAATCCAGCTAACTAATGAAGACAATGAAGTTAAGTTCTAGAAATCTGTAAATGTAGCTCATTTCCAGAAATCTGTAAATCTAACTCATTTTACGTATAAACCAAGGTGTACAAGGGAACTTGTATTTTCGTCCCATGCCAGATGCCCTGTGTTATATCAATGACAAGGGGAAACCATGCCAGAAAATCCTGCGGAACTTTCCCAACCAACACTGGGATCGAACCCAGTAACTCCTAGCTATCAAGCAGTGTCTTACTCACTGATGCACTGTGGTTCTGAGGACAAGCACTTTGTTGGTGCCTGACTGTAACTCGCAAGGTATTAGCAGAGTCATTACGTAAGCAGGGGTTTCTAAAATAGTACAGGAACAAAGGTAACTGATATGAAGTATTTAATATCCAGAATAGAAGTGATATGGTATTCAGGATGACTGGGGTATATATACTAGTTTTGGTATTTAATATCCAGAATAGAAGTGATATGGTATTCAGGATGATTGGGGTATATATACTATAGTTTTGGTTACCATGTATATAAACTAATTAATCGTATAGAATAATGTAGGCTTACCTATGACAAGGATTAAAGAGATAACCCAGTCAGTGCGCCATTGCTAACTGATATCCTAGGGATGAAGTCTTTATAGTTTAGCTAATTGCTAATCCTTTGGAGTCTGGTCTGATCATGAAATGTAAATCAGTCACTATAACAGTTCCGTTGTTCATTGGCTTTGATTAATAATACTTAATTGGCTTTGTGACCTGATTCCGCATATGTTGGCAGTTATAACATGTGCACCGGTCATGAATAGATGTATTTGTTTTTTTCTGGTCCAACTTTAGTTGTCAACTTAAAGAATCGATATCGTGAGAAGAGGGGGTGGGTCATCTTCTCTCTTTGTCATAATAAAAACCTGTTAAAACAGGAGGTCCAGCTCACTGATGATTGGTGTGATCAGTGCGGATAAAAGACCGTGGGGGAAAAAGAATCCGCTTGCTTAATGTGGAAAAGCGAAGTGCTCGCAGTAAAAACCACATAGCTGGACCGGTGGAATTTTTTTTACACATTAAAAACTGTTCGTCCAGTACGTTCCACATAGTTAAAAGTTCTTTAATGCGGTTCACAAATTCAGCGTTTGGGAGTTATAGCGTATGACTCTTCCCTAGATAAAAGTTACCTGAAACGAAAATGAAGAACCAGCAGCAATACAGAACACAATTAAAACAAATTACATTTATAGAGGGAGCCACGGTGGCTAGGTGGTTAAGACGCTGGCTCGCTAGCCTGGAGGTCGGGTGTTCGATCCCTGCATTGGCCGAGAAAGTTCATCTGGATTTTCCGACGTTGTTTCCCCTTGTCAGTGGTGCAGAACTGAGGGCCTGACAAGGACAGCTGTCTAGTCCTTCGGATGAGACGAAAAACCGAGGTCCCGTGTATACATTGGAATGCACGTAAAAGATCCCTTGGCAGTTGGAATTCGATATAAGAGTAGGCGATAGTGCCGCTGCCCGGGCAAAATTTCCCTCATAGCACTCGGTATGGCGTATGCCCGTCTTCATTAGCCCAGTATAGGAGCAGAACAGTAGGACGTTAAACCCCATATCATTTCATTTTCATTTCCATTTATAGAAATAATACAGGGCATTATTTTTTCTTTTTTTTTAACACAAATTAAATTAAATTGATTGATATGCACTCTTATTGTTAGTAATGGTTGTGTAGGTCCATATTCTTTTTGTCATATTTTTCCCCAATATATTATTATATTAAATCATACAGTAACTGAACTGCCCTACAAAAAAAGTTCCTTCCTTTGTAACTAGATATGCAGTTCCCTATCTTAATGTCAGTTTATTCTGATATTATTAAAGCATCCATCAACCTGGTCTACACAACCATTGATCTTTCGATGAAAAGTGCTCTTTTTTCACAACTAACTTAACAATTAATTCCCGATTCTAGTATGATTTTTTAGATCGCTTAATAAATTATATGTCATATTCCGAGGGCGGGGGACACTTTGGGTGATATATTGAAGTTTGGCGTCTTAAGAGATGGCGTTGTTGTTTCTTAGAGATTTAACGTCCAATAAAATTAAAATATAGACAGGAAGAGATGACTGCTACCACTACCTGGTGCTTAGTAGTCATCTCTTCCTGTCCATGATATCACCATTTTTATTTTATTGGGCGTTAAATCTGTAAGAAACAACAAAAACAACAAGAGATGACTTTACAGTCCACTTCCACCTAAGGTAATATCGTAGACAATGGAGAGATGACTACTTAGTTTGGGTTTATATATGCCCGGGGAAGGGGTGGCCCGTTTGACTCAACGCGCCTGCCACTCACCTCTTCGAAGATAACTTTTTAGTCCTGCGGTTTTGTTTTTTGTTCACCAACTAATCAGGTTTCTAGTGGTGTAAACTCTGTTGACAGCCACATGGGATTTTCTTCATTATGTCGGGAAAACACCCAGGGGTCTCGTTGGTCTTCGGCACCATAACTTATACCACACACATACACAGGAATCTTGTTCGTCGATGCACCATAGCAGAAAAAAAAAGGAAATGTTTAATGGCACGTCAGCTCCAACCGGGCTATATTGCGCCAAACATATGGTAAATCTAACGAGACAAATAAATGAATGAATTTATATATGTAAATAAAAACAAATATCACAGAAAATATATTAATTAAAAATAAATATAACAAATCTTTTACATATATAAATATTTAAAACGAGCACCATAACAGATACTGTAACACTGTTTTAGTGATAACAGATATCAATATAATCCAAGCCCTTATTCACGAAAACTTAAACTAAGTTACAACCGACATTTTAAGAAATACTGCAACTTCATTGGATACATGCAAATTGATTTTACTGGTTAGTCAATCGAATTGTAGTATTTCTTAAAATTTCGATTGTATCTTAGTTTAAGTTTTTTTTGCATTTGTATCTTGTTAAGACTAACGCCATTCCATCTTTCGGTATTCGTATTCAACCCCTTTTGTCTGAGGCTGGTGTCAGTCTTGACAGTATCGCGAGTACCCCTCTCTTTGAGACTCCACCATGGGCTGTATCTCCCCCAAAGATCGATTTCGATCTTTCGCAACATAAAAAGAGAGATACTAGCTCGGCGGTGTTTCAGTCTCTCTTTCGAGAGCTAAGGTCTAAATATGGTGATTATGCTCCAATATATACAGATGGTTCGAAAGATGATGATCGGGTAGCTTCAGCTACTGTGACACCATCTGAGACAATTTCTGTCCGCCTTCCACCTGCTTCTTCCATCTTTACAGCTGAACTTCAGGCCATTCTACAGGCTTTGGAGTTCATTCAATCATCATCTATATTAAAATATATAATCTTTACTGATTCTTTGTCCTCACTACAAGCAATAAACAACAAACAGCTTGATCACCCGTTAGTGGCAGACATTTATAGTCTGCTACTATCATACGAGTTAATCAGCAAAGACATTGTCCTTTGCTGGCTCCCCAGTCACATGGATATTAAAGGGAACGATCAAGCAGATTTGGCTGCCAAGTCTGCTCTAGATCTTCCCTTATCCTATTTTTTAATACCATACACGGATTTTAAATCTGTTATTAACAAATTTATTTATGACCGCTGGCAACGGTCTTGGGATCTTGCAGGCACAAACAAACTTCATCACATCAAGCCTCTCTTAGGAGATTGGCCCAACTCCTACAGAACCAACAGGAGGGATGAAGTTGTTTTGTGTCGCTCTCGCATAGGTCATACTTTTTTAACACATTTTTTCATCTTAAAGCGAGAGCCTCAACCAGAATGTGAACATTGTCATGTTCCTTTGACAGTGAAGCACATTTTGATTGAGTGCAAGCATCTCAAAGATACAAGATTACGGCATTACCGTTGCCAGTCACTTCATCAGTTGTTTGCCCAACCGGGTATATACAGTAAAGCGCTAGATTTTTTAAAAGAGACAAATTTTTATCGAAAATTTTAATTGTATATATTTGATTTTCACCTTCATGTTTTAAATATATATACATAAAGTTTATATTTAGTTTTATTTGATATTTACTGTGATATTTGTTTTTATTTATGTATATATAGATAATGTGATTATTTGTTTCTAGTTTGTCTCGTAACATCATCATATGTTTGGCGCAATATATCCCGGTTGGAGCTGACGTGCCATTAAACAACATTTCATTCATTCATTAGTTTAAGTTTTCGTGTATAAGGGCCCAGGTTTATAAAACATAAAAGAGCTACTTAAATACAACCGGAACATAAATTGAACAGGAATTAAACTAGAGCAGGAATATAAACAATATTAGGCCCCTCTGCCAAGGCAGCGGCTGAACTGGGGCGGGCGAGTCCATGCGCCGGTCCCCGCTCTTCTCTTCTTTCCGTCTCGCCGTCTGTCAGAAAACTCTGGTTATATAGCCACTGACAATAGGAACCAGCGGCTGCCGGGCAGGATACGCCCACATTTTCGAGAGATGGATAGAGAACCAGCTAAAAAGAAAGTGATTTTTCCTATAATCAAAGGCCATAATTCAGGAAATTACAATTCGATATGCGCAAATATCGAAAGGAACCGAGATCTTTGTGTTATAAACTTACATTTCAAGCTTCAACAAAATCGGATTAAAATTGTGACCTCTATAGGGTCCACAGCCTTGATATACCATATTTTTACGCTATTTGAGAACGAAGGGCGGCCATTTTGTCTGTCAGTTTTGGGCCGATTTTCATGAAATTCGAACTCAGGTGTCCTTAGGGTGTAACGGTGATATAATAATACGTTTTTTTAAATCGGATAAAAATTATGACCTCTGTAGGGTCCACAAGCTAAAAACGCGATTCTTCGTACAATCAGGGGCCATAATTCAGGAAGTTACTGTCCGATATGCGCAAATATCGAAAGGAACCGAGATCTTTGGGTTCAACAAAATTGGATAAAAATTGTGACCTCTATAGGGTCCACAACCTTGATATACCATATTTTTACGCTATTTGAGAACGAGGGGCGGCCATTTTGTCTGTCAATTTTGGGCCGATTTTCACGAAATTCAGGGGGTTGGATGGCTGAATGGTTAGCGTACGCGCGCTGTATCATAAAGTCTGCCATTGAGTCGACTGGCGTGGTTTCGAATCCCCGGTTGTACGTGACAAGGAGTAGGGTCGCCTGTCCTACCTCGTGGGTTTTCTCCGGGTCCTCCGGTTTCCTCCCACTGCTAAAGACCCCTATGCGCAAGCGAATTATTGAAATAAAGTTAAACCATATGTTAGTCCCGAAATGACCTAGTTTGTGTCGAGTGGACGTTAAACCCCATTTCTCTCTCTCTCTCTCTTCACGAAATTCGAATTCAGCCGTCCTTGGGGTGTAACGGTGATATAAAAATCGGTGATATAATAATACGTTTTTTTTTAAATCGGATAAAAATTATGACCTCTATAGGGTCCACAAGCCAAAAAACGCGTTTTGCGTACAATCAGGGGCCATAAATGCGATATGCGCGAATATCGAAAGGAACTGAGATCTTTGGGTTATAAACTTACACTTCAAGTTGCAACAAAATCGGATAAAAATTGTGACCTCTACAGTGTTCACAAGCCAAAAACGTGATTTTTCGTACAATCAGAGGCCATAATCCATGAAGTTACGGTCCGATAGATGCTAATATCGAAAGGAACCGAGATCTTAGGGTGATAAACCTATATTTCAAGTTTCATTGAAATCGGATAAAAATTGTGACCTGTAGACTGTTCACAAACAATTGGACGACAATATACGTCCACATGAAAATGTGGGCGTATAAAAATAGATAAGACTTATACACTGTGCATTTTGTGCTGCATCAACAAAAGTCTTTTCCATTGTATGCGGCATTTGGGTATAATGTCAATTTGTTTCACATTTTTAATTTGCTTAGAAATGTTGAGTTTGGACACAAGAGACAAACTCAGTAATGCTTTATCAAATGTTTTTAATCTAAACAAAACTTAGTCATACTTTTGGGGTGTATACTTTCTTTTGGACATCAGTATATATATGTCATATTACACCTGTTATATCTTATGTTATATTTTATATCAGTCATATTACACCTGTTATATTACATTAATTATATGGTATCTGATACATTACAGTTATTTATGATATCGTATTGCCTTGTTTGAAAAATAAAATTAAAAAAATAGTTTAAATACCTTGTTAACAAATTTATCTCAGAACTAACACAGTTATATGGGAAAACAATCACTTCTTCTTCTGAGTTGAACATATATTTGCACATGCTTCTTCACTGGTTTACTAAACACAAGATAAGATAAGATTTTTATTGATACATCATAAACAGATAAAAACAACATCAATATGCATTGCACGTATATGAACTTAACATTTAATGATTAAATAGTCTCATCTATACTACACTACACACTGGGATTGTCACATCTGGTCATGACGAATCAAGGATGACATCAAAAGCACACATGTGTTACGCTTATTTCCGTGATCGTCCTCTTATCGTTATCAAGCACAATGACAATGATAACGATAAGAGGATTTTTATCGAAACGTCTTACTTGTGTATAATAAACCAGTGATTGTTTTCCCATATAACTGTGTTAGTTCTGTTATGTCTCCAATCGCTAAATGCAATTAAAGGATAAAATTATCTCAGTTGTGAGTTAATCGATATGGATAGATCCACTTCACAAATAAATATACAGCCAGTAATGTGACGTACCGGAAATGGTATACAGACAACTCATCCCAATATAAAAGAGTACTCATCCCAACTTTGAAACATGGGTAGAGTTATAAGACAACTCATCCCAACAAATTTAAGTGCCTGTTTTAATACAATTGCTTTCTTTGAAGACCACTCAGACCAAAACCAATCTGATTTTGTTATCTTAAAGGGACAATAACACTCTTGCTGGCTTGACAGCTCCAGAAAATAAATAAGAGCCTTATTCTAAGTACTATATGTGTTAGTGTCTTACCTGTTGTGTAAATTATCCATTACATCCTATTTTACTTGTCCGGAGGGTTTGAAAATATTTTTAAATCCAAGTCACATTTGAAAAGCTTTACGTTAGGCTTTTCAAATCATTTAGTTGAATTTTTCCAATTTTTTAAATTAGGTGTGTTAAGATGAAATTTGTATCACCAATTAATTGGAATATTGTAAAATAGTACAATTTGTTGACCAGAATAAAGATTGGGGCATATTATTCAGTTACGACAAGAGTGGTATTGAGCCTTTAATAAAATTGATATTGTTGTTTTAATCAAATTGATATTGTTGTTGTAATAAACTGATGATTACTGTTTGTATTACTGTTTTAGTACTTTGTTGTTTTAACAGATTGGTAGTTGTGTTTTGTTTTATTTTTTCATCATGAAGCACTTCAAAGAAAATTAATTAACAAAACATCGATTAACTAAACTGAGTAGTAGTATTTCAGTATCATTTTTCAAAATGTCTGATAGCTGTATAGTTTGTGAGTCAGTTGTTCGCCCAAGACCGGAGGCTGTTCAATGCGACGGATGTGAACGATGGCAGCACAGAACTTGTAATACTGGTAAGACTTTAATGTTATTGTTTTAAATTCAACAATATTGTATTAGTACCAACCAGATACTAAAGAGATGTGGGGGAATTTATGGACCTAACTGAAGGACAAACTTACTAAATGGCTAACCTACTGAACGACATACTGACAGAAGAAAAAACATATTTATAAAAATGTATTAGTTGATCATGATATAATAAAATGTATTATTTAATAAATTGTTGATGTAATAAATAATAAAATGTATTATTTAATAAACTGTTGATGTAATAAATTGTTGATGTAATAAATTGTTGATGTAATAAATAATTTAACATTATTATTTTTATAAATTGTTGATCTAATAAATTCTTATATAAATTGTTGATATAATAAATTTTTATATTACTGATTAATTTAATAAATAAAAAAAAATCAATATTTGTTGCGGTATGTATTTGTAACTTGGAATGATTGGGTTTTTTAAAGTTGGGATGAGTTGTCTTCTAACTTGGGATGAGTTGTCTTTTGACTTGGGATGAGTTGTCTTTTATTGGGATGACTTGGGATGAGTTGTCTTTTATTGGGATGAGTTGTCAGGTATTCCCGGAAATGACCTAATAGTTAACGGAAGTCACATTTCTTATATTTTAGAGGACATTTTTTTTATAGACACGCCTAAAAGAATTATATCTATGTCAGTAAAGACAGTTTACAAGTCAAGTATTTTGGTAAGTCATACTGAAGCAAAGACACACTAATCAGCAGTGAATATTCTGACATTGTTGGCTGCTCTGACTACGTTTTTAGACGCCCTTTTTTCACAAAGAGAAATGGAAAATCTCTTTGTCTGAATAAACAATGGTGTGAATACTGAAGCTTGTGGTGTGTGAGAATGAGTAACGGAGAGATTAAAAGAGAGATATTGATGTGATATTTCAATGAAAATAAAAGCAATTTTCGTACATAAATGTAATTAATGTTTTGCTGATTTGAAATTTTGTCCCATGTTCAGGTCTGAAATAGGCAAAGCGCTCATTTTTCAATTCCAAGTTAATAATGGGCACTACCTAACCCTAGATTACATGTCATTTCGGACTTACGTCATTCGGATTCACTTCATTGCGGACTTCCAAAAATATGTCCTTGACATTTCGGACTCGTGTAGGTGACGGATGTCAGCTGTTTCGTAACCTGGCTGTTTCATACTTACACTACGTGTCTGGAGTTTGAGACTAGAAACACCGAACACCGTGGAAAAACACTCTATTTCACGGTGGAATCTCGGAGAATCGCTAGCGAAACACCAGCTTGCCAAATCACCGCGAAATAGGGTGTTTCACGGTGAATTATAGTGTTTCGCGGTGGAACACGGTGAATCGCTTGAGTGCCGATATCATCCCGATGTAAGCATGTTGACGGAAAATGTAATTTATTTAAGTTGAATACAAGATATGTTAACCGTTGGCGAGGCAGCTACGGTCGTATTTTTTTATTTCTAACACACTGTACATGTATAACGTGGTGCCACCGTGTACGGCGTATGTAAACAATGAATAACTTACAACGTATCATTTCATCTTATTGGCTGCTACCAAATCCAAACTTTGAATTATATACGATGAGATTTTACACACTACTTCATTACTCGCAGCTTTAGTTAAACTAAATCCATAAAGCACAACGCCATAAATCACTTCCGCAATGTGGTTAACCGTTAGTCACGTGGTCTGAAACGCGCGAAAACATGAGATGTTGGGTTCGACACGGGGACTATATTCTTAGCAAATCTTGACTGTCACCGGTACATAATAACAATGTATTATGACGCATTAAAACAATATGGGTGGGAAGGGGTACTGTGACAATATACATCTACTGGGTGCCCCTCATTTCATTTCGGTAGAAGCGGATATTAAATAAAGCCATTTCACACAGACGCGTACATGGCATATATTTATACAATGGCCACACGTGTGTTAATTCTCGTCATCACCCCGTTATAATTTACTTATTTTGAGTACACTTCTGAATGATTCCATTCCTTCGTACGTTCAACTTCCCGATTTTCTACTGCATATACATATCAGCAGCTCAAAAGCTATACTAGACGGTGTAAGCGCAAGTTTCGTGATTGAACCTGCATCGATATTGCATAATAAATCCATAACCGACAATTAAAGAGATGTTTTGGGTAGCATTTTATTCTTTTGGTTCCATTGTCATGATTTTTATTGAAAATCGAAAGTAAGTTAATCATGTAATACAAATGTACAACGTATACAAATCATAATATTTTACAGTCAAAATTAAATAATCATACAATATATTCTTTTGGTTCCATTGACATGATTTTTATTGAAAATCGAAATTAGGTTAAACATGTACATGTAATACATATGCACAATGTATACAAATCATAATATTTTACAGTCAAAATTTAATAATCATACATGCACTAAAAGTGAATTCATTTTTTATTGCAGTTAGTACATGTATTTACTCACATAAAGTCTTGACACTTGGTAAACAATGTATTCAAATCCATCGCAAACACCTTTTTTTTCTTCTTTTTAAAAAATATTTTGTCTACACACACACATAAAATGTTTGTTTTTTTCTATTTAAAAATTTTTTTGTCTATACACACATAAAATTCATTTTCGTCTTAGAAATTCGTTAATCTTTACGACCACGCGCTCTTGCCAGGCATGTTTTTCTTGCACTTGAGGATAATGATGTAAAACATATCTTACGACGAATGATTTCCGTCGTGTATCGAGTTCTAGCTTATTGCATCTACCCCCACCGAAATACGAATATTTCTGCCGTAAGTTGTCGGGTCCGGTCAGTTCCGGAAAAAGTCTTTGTACTATTTTAGTTGCGAAATGGCCGGCATTAAAAGCATGGAGGTGCATGGCGTTCAGATCTTCAGCAGAAATACGAAATTCCGGTGGGATATCACCAAATTTTGATGTGTCAGTTTCAGGCGTTGGCAGCGTCTGTGTGGCGGGCTGGGGACTAGGTACTGGTGGTATCTGCTGATCTTGTCCCTCGCCATGAGGGGGGAGTCTCTGTAGTATCAACAAAACAAGATTATTCATATCCTTTAATTCTTGTCGCAGTCCCTTGACTTCTAGTTGTAGTTCATGCTGCTTTTTATTCATTGTCTTCATGTACCTTTCTACTGCTGAGAGTGTTTTCTGCCTGTTCCTATTAGGTGTCCTAAAAAGCTGCCTACATGTAATTTCACAATCTTGTAAATCTGGCAGGGCTTGCAGGAGGGACTGTTCTTCAGACGTAGAGGGCGATTCGACATCTCGGGGTACTGTTACACGTACGGGCACTGGTATTCTTGATGATGCCTGGAAGACTGATTCTGGTGTTGAGCTAGTTGAATAGGAGCTCGAGGATACATTAGAAATTGACAGATCACGTGGGTCATTGGAACTGAAACTTTCTAGCGTCGTTCGACGGATAACTGATGCCATTTTCTGAAAAGACAAGAGAATAAAATATATTTATTTTTATTCATTCAACAACACTTCAATATTTTGAGGGTTAAAGAATTGGACTTTTAATATTTAATAATGACATCAGATGAAAAAAAAGACAAATAAGTTTGAACTGCTTGTCTCAGATGCACTATATAAATCTGTACTACATTGCTATTATGGAAAATGGCTGCGAGTTTTAATTTTAAAATATTTTCCAAAGTACTCGCTTGTTTTCTAAGCTGAACATGAAATTAAGAGACTTGGGTTAATTAATTTACTGATAAGAACTCTAACACTTAGCAGTAACTTTGTGTCTGACCTCAGCCATTTCTTAATTTGTCACACCATGGAATAGACACGGCACATTGACATGTCACTTGTTAATTAGACTGAAACCATTTGAATATATAAATATGATGACACGTGTGCGCATGTATATTTTTTGCATATCTGTTCATGTGTATTGTCGTAGTCGATTCCTCCATAAAACCCAAGAAACCAGTAGCTCAATTCATAAAAATGCCTGCTACTCGTATACCACACTTGGATAAATTAAAAATTGTTGAACTCCACAAGAAAGACTGGAAGTGTTCTGCTATACATAGATACCTTAACCAATCTAATGTGAATGTGTCTTTGTCCGGTGTAAAATATACGGTAACCGCATATATTGAAGGACGATTTGACAACAAGTGCGTATTGACTGAAAAAACCCACCATTTTAACAACTTGTGTTCCGATGACATAGTATTTATTGATAACGAATTTCAACAGAACCCAGCACAGTCTGCCAGGGATATCCAGAAAACACTTTCAGCACACGGCACAGACACCTCGATTAGTACAGTCAGACGCGCCATTGATTTTGCCGGTTATACATCAACGAAACCACGATATTGTCAACTAATCAGAGACCAGAATAAAGAAAAAAGGGTTGAATTCTGTAGACATTTATTAGAGACCAATGACCAGTTTGATAATGTGATATTTACAGACGAATGCTCAATACAACTACACGATAACAAAACAGTTGCATATAGACAAAAAGATCAGAGAGCACCACAACAGTGTCGCCCAAAACACCCATACAAAGTTCACTTGTGGGGGGGTATTAGTCGTAAAGGAAAAAGCCAACTTCTTATATTTGATGGTATTATGGACAGTGTTTTCTATACAGAGGAAATTTTAAAAAAAACTTTACTACCATTCATAAATAAGAGATTTCACGATGGACATCGCTTCCAACAGGATAATGATCCAAAGCACACATCCCGACTTGCAAAAACATTTATGGAGGACAATAACATTAACTGGTGGTGCACCCCCCCCGAAAGCCCAGACTTAAATCCAATCGAAATGGTGTGGAATATGCTGAAGCGCTACGTATCGAAAAAGAACCCCACCACAAAAGAAGAACTCTGTAATTACTGCCAAGACTTTTGGTACAACGTGCTTACGCGTGACATATGTAATCGCTTTATTGATCACATGTACAAGGTTGTTCCGGTTGTTGTGGTGGTGGGTGGGAAAGCCACGGCTGATATGCCTAAAAGACTTTTTGGGTCCGAACGTTCATTCGGGAAGGACAGTAATCATTTTAATCAAAAACTCCTAAACGACCCTAAAGTCAGAAAACGATTGCAATAAAATTATTAAATTGTTGTATATTTTTGTTATGTTGTTTTTGTGAAAACTATTTACCTTTCTTTTCGGTTGGGGTAAGCGACTCGTCGTTAAGGTACGCTTTGGTGTCGGGATTGTACTGGGGTTCTTTTGATGCTCATCTTTCTTCTTTTGTCCCATCTCCCTCTTTAGCCTTGACAATGTCAAGTAGTCTCCAGTCTTTATAATAACAGCGTCAGACACATCTTCGGGTTTGTTATATTGCACCTTGTACTTCCCATTCTCCGCAATCCTACCCTCTTCTAATATCCTACTTCTGGGAACAATCAGTAAGCCACCGTCGTCAAACTTAACCAGATAATGCGAGTACTCCTTGGTTTGATTTCTCCACATGATGCCGTATTGAATTAATGATAACCTGTCGTATTGAATAATCTCGAAATAAACCATTCGACTATAACCTGCCATTTATACGTACAAGGTATCGGCAAAAGTTCTTTGATTCTATTTACTCCAATTAATTTTATATAAAACAAACGATAATACTTCTCAACCACCAAGCTAAGAGACAAAGGCTTTCGACAAATCTACAGGAAGCCATGTCATTGTTTAAATTTGACCCATTCAGGTGGTTAATACAATGTAATCATCAGATTCAAGCTCTTCTATATACAAACAAAGTCTGGCTCCCTAAGAAAACATCTTGGTTTTGCTTCATTGTGACAAAATACCACGGGTAATACATAACACTTTATTAATTCAAAGAAAACAGATACATATTAAAACACAATTATCAATTTATTAAAACAACTCTTTATTATTGGTTCGAGTAGTCCACTACTGATGTCTTCCGTTTTGCTAGAAAATACAGAATAACTGTAACATAATTACTTATTTCCACGCAAACTGTCATCATTTTGTAATTAAACCTAATTTTACTTGCTCAAAGCCCCGAATAGAGTATCAATTGTAGCCGTGATTAAGAATTATTGCAGCTATTAACACGGATGAGTACAGATAATACGAATTAATCACTACTCAGTTATCGTTGTTTTAACTGATTGTCTTTGATGTGCTTCATGGTGAATTGTTTTAATACGTCATAATACATTGTTATCATATACCGGTGACAGTCAAGATTTGCTAAGAATATAGTCCCCGTGTCGAACCCAACAGCTCAGGTTTTCGCGCGTTTCTGACCACGTGACTAACGCATTGCGGAAGTGATTTATGGCGCTGTGCTTTATGGGGCGTTGATTTAGTTTAACTGAAGCTGCGGGTTATGAAGTAGTGTGTAAAATCTCATCGTACAAATATATAATTTAAAGTTTGGATTTGATAGCAGCCAATAATTGGTGGGTTACATCTAAGTTATAGACGAAGATGTAATGATACGTTTAAAAAATTGTAAGTTGTTTATTTTGGCATACATTTTCGCCGGCGTTATGTATGTACATGTATACAGTGCGTTGGGGAAAAAAATCCTAACCTATACAGAATGCCGGTAAATGTCTCCCCGAGATTACCTAACTCATTTGTTATTCAAATCGGCCTGTACTTTAAACATATTCCCGGGAGCATTACTATATTACAACCCCTTCAATTTACAAATGTATTATAGACAATATTAGTTCGACCCTAGCTTAAGGTAGGCTCGCAAATTCCTTGCGGGAAGCACGGCAAAGCACGATGTACTTTTACCGAAACACGGTGAATTCCTAGAGAAACACGGTGAATTCCTAGAGAAAACACGGTGAATTCCTAGAGAAACACGGTGATTTCCTAGAGAAACACGGCGAATTCCTAGAGAAACACGGCGAATCTTAGAGAAAAATCGCCGCGGAATTAAGCGAAATTTCACCGTGAAATCTAAGAGAATTCGGAGTGTTTTTTTTCGCCGCGTCGGCGCGATTCTGGTCTCAAAAATTTGGTAGGAACTGTAGTTCATTTGTACCTCACATAGGCCGTTTCATACTTCACTTCGTACCTCAAATTGATTTGTACCTTTTCCTATGTTGTTGATATCAGTTAAAAGAAATTGAAATAAAGGTGAAACGATTTGATCAAATCCAACGGCTACGCTAAATTTATAAAAGTGGCTACCGAGCCATAATTAGAATATGCACGAGATTTGTACACTACAGTGCTGGAGTTTGGGACTAGAATCGCCGAACACCGCGGAAAAACACTCTATTTCACGGTGGAATCTAGGAGAATCGCTAGCGAAACGGCAGCTAGCCAACCGCGAAATAGGATGTTTCGCGGTGAATTATGGTGTTTCGCGGAGAAACACGGTGAATCCCTTGAGTGCCGATATCATCCCGATGTAAGCATGTTGACGAAAAATGTAATTTATTTAAGTTGAATACAAGATATGTTAACCGTTGGCGAGGCAGCTACGGTCATATGTTTTATTTCTAACACACTACATGTATAACGTGGTGCCACAATGTACGTGTATGCAAACAATGAATAACTTACAATTTTTTAAACGTATCATTTCATCTTATTGGCTGCTATCAAATCCAAACTTTAAATTATATACGATGACATTTTACACATAACTTCATTACTCGCAGCTTCAGTTCATCTAAATCAACCATTCATAAATCACAGTGCCATACATGTAAATCACTCCGCAATGCAGTTAACCGTAAGTCACGTGGACAGAAACGCGCAAAAACATGAGATGTTGGGTTCGGCACAGGGACTATATTTCTTATGCTGTGTTACTTGGCGAAAAGTATTTAGCAAGTCTTGACTGTCACCGGTATATGATAATAATGTATAATGACGTATTAAAATAATATGGGTGGGAGGGGGTACACTGCGAAAGTCACAAAAGTGACAGTGCCATGTATTTGTTATTTTACAAATTCCGTATCCATAGAATACTGTACATTTACATGCATTCAACCAAGGGATATTTTTACGTCAAATATTCACTGTGACAATATACATCTACTGTGTGCCGCTCATTTCATTTCGGTGGAAGTGGATATTAAATAAAGCCATTTCACACACACACACAGACGTGTACATTACACGTGCATGTCATATATTTATACAATGGCCACGTGTGTTAATTCTCGCCTTAACCCAGTTATGATTTACTTATTTAGAGTAGCCTACACTTTTGAATGATTCCATTCCTTTGTACGTTCAACGTCCCGATTTTCTACTGCATATACATGTGTACATGTACTCTGTGTAACTGCAATCTACATGTATTTGTTTTTATTTACATATATAAATTCATTTATGTGATATTGTTTTAATTTGTCTCAGATTCACCATATGTTTGGCGCAATATAGCCCGGTTGGAGCTGACGTGCCATAAAACCATATTTCATTCATTCATTGCTATCTACATGTAACTTACAATTTTTTAAACGTATCATTTCATCTTATTGGCTGCTATCAAATCCAAACTTTAAATTATATACGATGAGATTTTACACATTACTTCATTACTCGCAGTTTCAGTTAATCTAAATCAACCATCCATAAATCACAGTGCCATACATGTAAATCACTCCGCAATGCGGTTAACCGTAAGTCACGTGGTCAGAAACATGCGAAAACATGATATGTTGGGTTCGACACGGGGACTATGCTGTGTTACTTGGCAAAAAGTATTTAGCAAATCTTGACTGTCACCGGTATATGATGATAATGTATTATGACGTATTAAAATAATATGGGTGGGAGGGGGTACACTGCGAAAGTCACAAAAGTGACAGCTCCATGTATTTGTTATTTTACAAATTCTGTATCCATAGTAGTAGTAGTATCCTGGTGTTTAACATCTGCTTCCACATAAGTGATATTGCAGACAAGAAATAGGACAGCCGAAGCTGCTTCCTGATTTTAGAATATGATTTTGCAATCTTTCCATTTTCGGCCTTAGGCCATGGATTGGGTTTTGTGGGAAGTTCTTCCCTTTCTTTAATAAAAAAACTATTTATTTAATAGAATACTGTACATTTACATGCATTCAACCAAGGGATATTCTTACGACAAATATCCACTGTGACAATATACATCTACTGTGTGCTGCTCATTTCATTTCGGTGGAAGCGGATATTAAATAAAGCCATTTCACACACACACAGACGTGTACAGTACATGCGCATGTCAAATATTTATACAATGGCCACACGTGTGTTAATTCTCGCCTTCACCCCGTTATAATTTACTTATTTTGAGTACACTTTTGAATGATTCCATTCCTTTGTACGTTCAACTTCCCGATTTTCTACTGCATATACGTGTGTACATGTACTCTGTGTAACTGCAATCTATAAGCGTATAGATATCAGCAGCTCGAAAGTTATACTAGACGCTGTAAACGCAAGTTTCGTGATTGAATCTGCATCGATATTGCATAATAAATCCATAATCGACAATAATCCATAAACAAAGAGATGTTTTGAGTAGCATTTTATTATTCTCGTTCCATTGTCATGATTTTTATTGAAAAATCGAAATTAAGTTAAACATCTAATACAAATGTACAATGTATACAAATCATAATATTTTACAGTCAAAATTTAATAATCATACATCCGTCTTGCACTACAACAAATGTTAAATGTAACTACATGTATTTACTCACATAAAGTCTTGGCACTTCACAAACACTTTTTTTTTCTTTTCCTTTTTCTTTTTTTTATTTTTTTTTACAAAGTAATTGTCTTTTTATATTTAAAAAATATTTTGTCTATACACCATGTCATAAATTACCACTTGAAAATCATTTTCTTCTCAGAAATTCATTTATTTTTACAACGACGCGCTCTTGCCGGGCATGCTTCTCTTGCACTTGGGGATAAAAGTGTAGAGCATATCTTACGACGAATGACTTCCGCCGTGGCTCCAATTCTAACTTACTGCATCTACCCCCACCGAAATACGAATATTTCCCCCGCAAGTTGTCGGGTCCGGTCAGTTCCGGAAAGAGTCGCTGTACTACTTTGGTTGCGAAATGGCCAGCATTAAAAGCATGGAGGTGCATGGCATTGAGATCCTCAGCAGAAATGCGAAATTCCGGTGGGATATCACTGAATTTTGATGTGGCAGTTTCAGTCGTTGGCAGTGTCTGAGTGACGCCCTGGGGACTACATGTAGGTATTTGAATCTGCTGATCTTGCCCCTCACCAGGAGGGGGGAGTCGCTGTAATATTAACAATACAAGAATATTCATATCTTTTACTTCTTGTCGTAGCCCTTTGACTTCTTGCTGTAGTTCGTGTTGCTTCTTATTCATGATCTGCATGAATCTCTCTACTGCAGAAAGTGTTTTCTGTCTGTTACGATTTGGTGTCCTAAAAAGCTGTCTACATGTTATTTCCCCATCCGGTACATGTAAATCGGGCATTGATTGCAGTGGGACTGTTCCTCAGAAGTGGATGGCGATTCACCACCACGGGGTACTGGTACACGTACCGGCACTGGTATTCTTGATGTCTGGGAGACCGAATCTGGTGTTGAACGAGTTGAACACGAGCTTGATGATACATGTATACACAACATTGACAGCTCACGTGGGTCACTGGAACTAAAACTGGCTAGCGTCGTTCGGCGGATAACTGTAGAGGCCATTTTCTGAAAATACAAGAGAATAGAATATATTTATTTTCATTCAACAACACTTCAATAAATATTGGTGCGTTTTCCATAAATAATGATGAAATTTTAATATTTAATAATGATATCAGATTTAAAAAATGGCTACGAGTTTTAATTTTAAAATTTAAGATATTTTCTAAAATACTCGCTTTTTTCTAAGCTGAACATCAAATTAAGAGACCGGGGTTAATTATTTTACTGATCAGAAAATAACTTTGTGTTCTGACCCCAGCCATTGTAATATATTTCTTAATTTCGTTGTCACACCCTGGAATAGACACTGTAGGCTACATGGACATGTCACTTGTTAATTAGACTGAAACCATTTGAATATATAAATATGATGACACTTGTGCGCATGTATATTTTTGCATATCTGTTCATGTGTATTGTCCTGGTCAATTTCTCCATAAAACCCAAGAAACCAGTAGCCCAATTCATAAAAATGCCTGCTACTCGTATACCAAAATTAAAGATTAAAAATTGTTGAACTCCACAAGAAAGCCTGGAAGTGTTCTCCTATACATAGATACCTTAAACAATCTAATGTGAATGTGTCTTTGTCTGGAGTAAAACATACGGTAACCACATATATTGAAGGGCGATTTGACAACAAGGGCGTATTGACGGAAAGAACCCACCATTTTAACAACTTGTGTTCAGATGACATAGTTCTTATTGATAACGAATTTCGACAGAACCCATAAATAATGAGGATATTATAATGTTGTTTTTGTGAAAAATATTTACCTTTCTTTTGGGTTGGGGTATGCGACTTGTCGTTAAGGTACGCTTTGGTGTCGGGATTGTTCTGGGGTTCTTTTGATGCGCATCTTTCTTCTTTGTTCCATTTTTAACGCACATTTTCATCTTGAAGCCAGAGCCTCAACCAGAATGTGAACACTGTCATGTTCCCTTGACAGTTAAACACATTTTGATTGAGTGCAAGCATCTCAAAGATACAAGATCAAGATATTATCGTTGCCAGTCACTACATCATTTGTTTGCCCAACCTGGGTTATATTGCGAAATGCTTAACTTTTTAAAATAGACAGGTTTTTATTATAAATTTTAATTTGTATATATATATTTATGTGTAATATTTTCTATTTTAAATGTTTATATGCATAAAGGGTA